TTTTTTTTCACTAGAATCTACCTTAAACATTTATGAATCTACCTGGAGAGTTATAGAACCAACAAACCATAGGATTGTTTACAAGCCATATATTTATTAAAAAGAAAATTTTTTGGCATTAAATAACCAACAGAGTTGATATGCCATTAAAACAACAATCAATCATTTTTTTTCATAAGTTCTTTGAGAATTTTGAGTTTCTGTTTGCAATTAATGTTGCATTATTATAAGTATTATTGACCATTAAAGATTTTATATTGGTAGGAATATTATATTTATTGAAATGCAATCAAAATGCACTTTGGTCAGGTAAATAAAATAGTAAGATAATCTGTGAAAGAAATTTTGTTTGCAGATGTAATATCTTATTGGACATAAGAATTTATATATTATATTGGTTTTGTATAGTGATTTTTTAAGACCAACATTGTTAGTAATTATAAAATTCATTGTTTTTATTTAAAAAAAAAAATAGATAATTGCTCTGTATAATAAAAATTCACAAAGTTCAAATCTCCATGTACACAGGCGCAGCCTCCTCACAAAAAATGCCCTGGTAGAAAAAGTCAGTTGCTTTTATAGCAGTTTGATGGACCCTTTCCAGGTTTTCTATTCATGGAGCACAGAAATGGATTAGCATATTTTTCTATGCAATACATTCTACTCAGTGACACTTGAAGGATGATTGGTTAGCAGAAGCTAATTTACATGAACTGGCTAACCTCATTCATTGGCAAAGCATTTTTCTTTCTTCTTATTTCTCTTTTTTTTTCTGCAAGAGTAGCATGCAACATGAAAGTATTTTAGCCTTCAGAGTATGTCACCATTTTCTTCTGTACACTTTTTACATTCTTTAGGATTAATAGGAGATATGTTCCTATGTAAGGTACTCTGAGAGGTGTATCTATAGAAAGAGGCACCCATGGCAAGGCATTATAATTACACTTCTAACTAAATATCTGATACCCTACCAAAGTGAAAAGTAGACCTAGTTCAAAGATACAAGTCAAGATCATTAATATATATAATAAATTGTGGTACTTCAAGAAGAAGACAATGTTTTATTTGAAGAGAATTTAAATTTTGACAATATAACGGTACATGAACATATTCTTTAACAAAATTATGATAACACAGTTATCAAAAAAATAAAATCTTTTAAAGTACATCACCTCAGACTATAGGAAAACATACTTTAATTGTATTTTTCATTTTATATATAAAGTACAGTGTATATATGTGTGTTCTCTGCTCCCGCTGGTTCAATTTCAATGATTCAAAAGCCAAAAAAAGTTAGGTGCAGGGAACAATTTTTGTTGAGCTCAGATTCAGGGTTGCCAGATTATGTGAGGCTAAAAATATATAAATATATTATATTAGCCATTATTGTTGCTTTCATGGTTCAAGGGGAGTAACTCTTATTTTCCTTTTGTATTCAAAATTGCAGCTTAAAAACCACCCTATACATGAAAAGTTAAATATTATTAAGTTTCTGAAAAATAAAAATTTATTAACTCAAAGAAATGAAATAGTGAGTTTTTGTAGACATTGCCAAATTTTTTCCTTAAGTAATAGCTAATTTAAAAAAAAAATGAAAGTAAAATATTTATATTTGATCATAAATAAAATAATTTATGAATACATAATTAGATTCTAATATATTAATTTTAACATTAACATATATGTACTCAATTAGTAAATAAATTAAATATAATATCTTAAGTTGGTATGGAAAAAAAATATAAATATTAACAATGTGACTGAATAATATTTGAATGCCCCTTTTGAAAAAATTGTAATTGAAATTTATATAAAAATAAAAATTAAATAAAAAAAAGCCAAATGTATTGCTACTGAAACCCAGACAATGTGTTGGAACATAGACACTACCACAAATTTCTACTTAAAAAAAAAGGAAGTTTGTATCAATAGACAGATACCGAAGCCCCCACCTTGACTGAGTTGGTAGCTACAATATATTAGATACATGAATTTTCTAAATAATTTAAATCTTAAAACCCCTAAAATAAAAAAGAAGGAATTTTCCTTAACCCAATATCAAAATTTCAAATTTGTCTGGACTTATAAATTAAGTAAATCAATTTCTAAAAAGTTATTCTAGCATTGCTTGATAATGGAATGGAACTTTATATTTTAAGTTTAATTTTTATGATTGAATTTGTATTGAAGTTTCAGTTTTGAAGCATGGGAATTCTTGTGTTGCAATGATTATATACTTTTAAAAAAATCATTACACACACACACACACACATATACATATATATATATATATATATATATATATATATATATATATATATATATATATAAAAAAAGCATGGAGTAATGGTTAGTGTGGATAATCAGCCAAGTTTAAATTCTCGTTGGTTCTGTTTTGATCACTTTGTGTTAATGACATTGGAAAAAACAAGAATCCTTCTTCATGAAGGTATGTGTTAAATAGCAAGACAGACTGCACCCTCCTGCTTTGGGTTGCAGCTAGTTTAGGAAAAAGAAATCTCTGAATTCAAACTATGTTTTCCCAAAGAGAGCCATGAGTAAGTACATGTACTGTACTTAGGCTATTACATTATTCTAGATAGTTTTATTATTACTCTTGGATAATAAAACTTGAGCAAGGCTATTAAGAGATTTTGTGACATACATGTCTGTTATCAGTTCTTTCAAAAAATGTGAGAAATTCTGCACAAACTTTCATTGCCTTAATCAAATCACCTGGGTGTGTATTCTACCAGTTCAGTTCTAAACATACACACAGACACACACAAGGTGTGTTCAAAAAGTATCTGACTTTATTTTTTCCTGCCAAATCTAATGCCATGTGGGCAGAAACATTTGGGTGGTTGGTGACACCACCCTTCCTGTGCATATGTGAAAATGTTTGTGCCAGTAGGTTTCATCGGTTCCAAGCAGATACACCTAGAGTACAGATGTGTAGTGTGTGTCAGATTCTTGTTTTGCATATATATATATATATATATATATATATATATATGCATGTTAGCAGAATATAGAACCTAAAGAAAAGTAGAGAAATGAGAAACCTTTTCCACACACACATATATATATATATATATATAAATGCATCCCCACACTCACACACACATAAAAAGGAAGTGCTCAATCAATAATATTTGGATAATACTACTTATTGCATGCATGATCTATAAATTTGTATCTGTCAAGGACAGTTTTGGAGGAAAGATGTATGACAAAGTGGAAAAAGGGATGAAACACATTACACAAAATCTTTTTACATTTTATCATGCATATATATATTTGCTTAGATCATTTATATCACTAAATTAAGGAAGAATGATCAAGAAATCTATGACCTATATTGAATGAACACAAAGCCAAGTTACTGTAATTTTAAGGATATATATATATATATTATAACAATTCTGGATTTTAATTTTGTCATCTAAAATTAAATATCAGCAGAATGTGTCCTCTGCATTTCATATAGCTGCTGTATATTTTATAAAGTTCAATCTACACATTATATAAATCCTGCAAATAAAAAAATATATAAATTAAAAAAAGGTACTTGAGCTAAACTCTCAGTCATAATGCTGGTATTACTAATATGTAAATTGATTAACATTTTGAGAAAACAGTACATAATTCATTTTTGTCTCATAGGGAAACAAAGCAATGTTTTTATTTTACATTGACTTTTGGGTCATTTCTATTTACTCTTAAATCCTGATCATGAACCCTGTAACCCCTTAGTATGGTTACCACATCTATTGCAGCCCTAGCAGCAATGGTGTGTCATGGGCAAGACAGCCTGATGAAGCCCTAGAGGCTACAGGCTGCTTTGAATTCCTTCTCCTAGACTGGTTTCCAACTAAGGCTATAGGACTATAGGACTTGCTATTTACCTATAACTAGGGTGGGGGAGATGGTTTCATACCTTTCCCAAGAGTATTAGCATGTAAGTGAATGTAATAAACTCGACTGGAATTCGAACATGGCTCTCCTATTCCTCAATCCGAGTCACTATTCATACCATGCCTTCTGTTAAATATAGATATCTATATATAATTAACTTTTCATGTGTCCTGAAATATGAAATTTAGGCAAAAATATTGATAAGCCAATACATTTAAATTCTAAAAATAGAAAAGATTTATGTAATTTTTTTCTTTTGTGTGACCTACCTGAATAGTTTAAATTTAACAAATATTGACAGAAAAATTGTAGTTTATTTCCAAACATAAAGGATCACTGTTTATTTTTTTTTTAAATAAATGGTTCACTTCAGGTGTGATAAAACCTGTCCACAAGTTTGCACAGAATTTACCTCATATAAAGTGATCCATTGTTACCAAATCATAAATTTTTTTATTAATCCCAACCTTTCAAATAACTTGAAAGTTTGAAAACAATAAACTTTCTTTTAATTTAAAGCATAAATGATGTTATATGATTTTAAAAAACTACATCAAGTTAAAAGTTCTTCTTTTAAATCCATCCTTTTTCTTAATGAGTTATATTTTCTCTAATGCAATTATCTTTTTCAAATTGATATCCAACTCTTATTAAAGACACTGCAAATAGTAAAATTTTAACCATTTTAAAAATGTTCCAACTGATTGATAGTAAAATTTGTTTGGAAGAAATAGTTTCATTGATTCATTGTAAACAAAATGGAAATTTAACTATTTGAACTTCTGCGATTATTTTTTACAATTAAAAATAATTTACTTTTCACTTTTTTTAAGATGAAAATATAATATTTTACCAATGTTCTGTTACAAAAAAATTGTAATTGTAAGAAAGGAAGAAGGTAATCAAGTCAAAAAAGCCTAATGCTACCACATGGTCGAGTGGCCAGCCTCGTTTCCAACATCCAATCAAATAAATCCTTGTATCATACCTAGTTAGACTGAACGACATGAGAAGGCCGGCATTTTGAAATCCCTTCGAAACTTTTGAGAAGGTCATACTTTTATTTAAATATACCGACAAAGATGGCATCTGATCCTAATCTTAAAGGAAGGGCTCATCTTTTTAAAAACAAAGGGAAAGATGCAGAGGTAAGTATATTAATGGCGTGTTTATCTTTATTTTTCTCTACAGTAGTCAAGCCATCGTTCTTTTTACCGTGTATCAGTCATACTTTTTCTACCTTCTCTACTCGATTTTATGAAACTACAAATAAATTATTTAATAGATGCTTATGAATTTCATTGATAATTACTGAAAATAAATCCATTAGTAATAGAAAAAGGTAAAAGGTATTATCACTCTCTAAAATATCTTCTGTTTATTTAAAATTGGGGAACGAAACGGGCTCTTTTAACGGACAAGCATGTGGTCTACTCAATTTAAGTGGTCGTAAAGTCGGGGATCAATATAATATCTTTGAAAATGTTTCGTTTTTCAAGATCGAAAGAATAAAATCTATTGATATTACCTATTTGTATGAAAACTATTCTTCAAGAAATTTTCGTAAATTTTGTAATGTCGTCTTGCCTAAGTATTGGAAAATGCGTGTACGAATTAGAAGTCTAATCCCCGACTTTGTAGCCAGGCCCTGTCTTCATGTCGTCGCTGCTGCTGCTTCTCGTATTACGCACAAAAGTCCTCTTTTCTATTCTCGTGCATTTCTCATCGCTTCTAAGTACGCCCATTCCGTTGTTTTAATCAATTTACTCTATTATTCTTCTAGATATTTTTAGATAATGATTTTTAATATGACCTTTTCATATGTTATATCTTCCCTGGTTGTTATGTAAAATTCTTAAATGAGGTTAGGTACGTGGTTTCTTTTGCCATAATAATAAAAGAATTCCCAGCAACCATCATTATTCAGTTGTTGACTGTTTAAGCAAGTCTAACATGCTTACCATAGAGCATTTAGATTTTAAGCATGTATTTGCTTTTCATGCCTTTTTTTTTTCCTGTCGGTATGACTTAAATCTCATTCGATCAAATACACAATCTCTTCATATCCTTTAAAAAAACGATCAGTTTTAAAATGAGTACTGCTACTGATTACTTTGTTCGCATTAATTTTTTTTCTTTCTGTGCCTATCTTAATAAAATTTTCATTAAAAAAATATAAAGATTAGTTTACGATTGTCATTAATTTTCACGTTCACATGAAACTAGCTTTTTCCCTTATACTGGCAACTTCGCAACAGTTTTATTTTTGAGTGCATCCCTCATAAACCCCCAAGAGGAGCGAAGTAACAAATACTTGCATATTCCTATTTATTTTATGTTCTTATTTGAATAAGGATCTCTAAACTTTTCGAGATTTTGACTGAGAGCAACTTCAATTAATCGGACGCCAAATCATGGTGTTCTAACTGCTCTTATTGCTTCTTAATTCTCCATGTGAATCCTATATTTATATAAAATATACACATCTCTAACAGATGTGCTCCAAACAACTAGTAACATCTTACTTAAACGTTTACGAGTTCTATTTCTATCTATTCCCGATTTACATTTAGGCGCACGCACCTTAATCTGAGATTTTACTCTGTTGCGCATATTCCATTTTGTATATGGAGCACTGGAACTGACATTTTTATGAGATCATTTTCCAAGTTTTCATTATCCTTGGATACACACCTCTTAGTATTATAGCTTACATGGGGGTGGGTGCGGAGGGCATTAGCTTGAGTACCTGTGAAACAGGGCTTTCTGAATCCGGGTCACGCTTCCCTCCTACAACCATTTAATTAGGTGCATACACACTTGTGGGTGCTGTACGATTATCATTTATTAAACGTTAGTCATTCTCTCTTGTGTATTAATTTGATATTTTCCATGACAATGCTTAAGCTTTCAAAGCCGTTAAGTTTTACTTTTAATGTTTCTTGTATTTTTTCACTAATGCAATTTTCCTCTACGACCCTTTATTCAGTAAACTTATTTAATAATTCTAGCGCCAAAGATTCGCTAAAAATGAGCATACATGATGAAAACACGAGACAAACTTAATAAAACAAAGTTTTAACCCCAAAATCTTTAAGCAAAAAGCCGCAAAAGTTTTATTTTTTTTAAAATTATATTTTGTAATGCTAGAACCTTAAAAACTTTGGTTAAAAATTATTTTTCTTGCGTCAGTGGGTGACCGTAAAAATAGTGTGGGGGGGAATTTTAGCGTCTTTTTGCGATGAAAAACTCATTGATTTGAAATTCTTGCAAAAATTAGGTAATTGTCAGATTTTAATGAAACTTTCAGAACTTGTTCACAAATTAATTATTTTAGAAACTTTTTTTTTTTTGTTATTTATGTAATGAAATTTCGAGAAATTTTTGTAGAGCTTACTGAATGTTTATATAAGCAAAAATTCTTTGAGAACTTCAATCATTTTTGTGCGTGTGAAACACTACCGCGATGTTACAGAAAATCTGCTTTAAATCATAAAATAAAACATTTAATTAGAAAAGCTTTTGATTGCTTTTAGTTTTATAAATAAAGTAGAATTTTTTTTATGAATACTAATCATCAATAAATGGTAAAACTTACAATCCCCGCCCCCAGTATTTTGAAGTTTTTGTGTATAAATGTGGCAAATTTTGTAAGTATGGATGCCCATACACATTATCAGAAAATAAGTGTTAACTATAGTAAATTTTAAATTTATTGGTCATTTTCTAACATTTCCAAAATCGTCTTCACAAGTTGTACTATAAAGCCAAAGTACCTAAAATTCAATAATAAATATTAGATTACTTACAGTATTTTAAGTAATTTTTTAAATTACTTGGTAGCTAAAAAATTATACAAAAAAGTGTTCATGTTATATTCAAGTAATTGTACTCCTTTGAAAAAAAAACTTACAAAGATAAGACTATCAAGAGTTGTTAACACCTCATGAAAACACCCTCATGTATTAAAAAAAAACAAAAAAAAAAAAACTTTCCTGCAATATTTTCTACTAAAAGTTGACAAGCACTTAATCATGCAACTGTTTGTTTTAAAAATCCATTTGTTATTTTCAACTTAAAGTAAATGTTTCAAATCAGATTAAAGTTTAAATTGGCTAATCTTCCTCAAATAAAATCTCAGAAAGTATATTTTATTTTTGAAAGCTCTTTTTAATAAAGAAAATTATGTTGTGTTGACAGATTTGCAAATATGGACGTTTTAACCATTTTTAGCAATTTAAAAAAAATTAAATCAATTTAAATTCGTTTTGAAGTATTTTTGCTTATCAGAACTATTAAACTTAATCTATTAGCTTGAAATTAAAACTAAAATATCTTCAAGAAAGATTTTCATTTTTTTTTTTTTTTTTTTTTTTTTAATGCATTTTAAACTTTAGTTATTGCTTTTCTTTGGGGGGTACATAATCTAAAGTTTACGTTCATTGCCATGGATCTGGTTGTTTTTTGTTTTGTTTTGTTTTTTTGACAGTTTTTGGCACAAACATCGACTTCACTATTTGTTAGTATTAATTTTTCAATTAATCAAAAATTGATACAATTTTCTTTAGTTAACTCAACAGAATAATAATGCATTAAAAGACTAGTTTTGTTATTGACCCATTAACTTCCCCATTTTAACTTATTGTTTAACAAATTACTATTTTTGTTGTTCACTAAACCTCTTACCCTTTTTTTTTTTTTTTTTTTTTTTTTTTTTTTTTTAAGTAAGCTATTTTTATTCCCCTAAACAAGTAGAATTTAATGATTTTACAGTATTGTAAAGTTTTTTTTATAAATAGATCAATCATGAAATCTATAAAATTCATTATTTCTGTATACATTTAAGAAAATGGTGCAAGATTTACTTTGAAAACATCTTTACATGTCATTATTTTTCATATTTTGCTCTTTTGAAACCCATGGGGAGGGAAATCATTGACTTTTTTTTTTTTTTTAACTCAGCCCACCCATTTCAACACTGACATTTGATCTTACAGAATTTCAAATCTAATTGAATTAAACTTTGTACTTTTATAAATTATTAAATTTCGGATTTGAAGAAAATTAGCTCTTATTAATATCAATTTCTTTTTGAAACAAGCATCACTTAAAAAAAAAAAAAAAAAAAAATTATTTTCAGTTTTCTTATGTCTATAATTTGTTGGGTTACTTAGTTTCTAATTTTTTTAGTTCTTGCTTGAGACTTAACTAGAAAGTTACTAGAATAGGTACCTCCACTTTTTCGCTAAAATTCAGTATGGCATGATGAAAAAAGGTCCCAATCTTATAAAAACAAAGAACTAGTAATAGAAAATTTTCGCAACTATTTCAGTAAAATAACACATTAATTTGGAAAATCTTGCAAAAATCAAATTTTCTGATTTTAATGAAACTTTCAGGATTTATTCACAAATGAATAAATTTATTTTTGAAATTATTTAAAAAAAAAAAATCTTGGTTAAAAAATTTTTTTATAATTATAAAGTAAAAATAATTCCAGAAGCTCTTACGATATTTTAAAATCGTTGAATTTCTTTGATAAAAAGTGATTTACGATTTGTCCAAGAAAGGGTAGTAACTCTAATTCTGAAAATCTTACTTACTACCCTTCTTTAAGAAAAGCGTGACTGAAAACTGATACCATACATTGAGTGGTATTTAAATTTTATTTTGTGATCTATCGAATTGTCTGAGATAAATATCTGATCTTAGCATCTTTTTCTTAGGAAATGCGAAGACGACGAACTGAGGTAACAGTAGAACTGAGAAAGGTGAGTTTCTTGTATTTAGATGTTTTTTGTTTGTTTTTTTTTTTTTTTTTTTTAGCTCTTCTATTTGATAATTCACTGGGTATGACCATACTGATCAAGTACAAGTTGCAAAATTCATTTACATAGAAAAGTTTAATCAATTTTCATAAAATTTAAACCATTAAAAAAGAAGACTAGTGAAAAAACTTTGATATAGAAATGAAGCTATTAGCTTTTGAAATTTGTATTTTACATGCGGTCAGCAAAATCACATGTAACAAAATTGGATGGAACATTCATTGTGGAAAATTTACCCAGTGCATTCTAATTTGAGAAATCAGATGATAGATTTGAATGAAAATGTTATTTGATCATGGACTACTAAAGTCATAAATAAATGAATACTTAAAATAACTTTTTTTGATATTTTATCTGAATAGAACAAATTTTTAATGCTATAGAATAAAAAATTTAAAACTGCAATATAAGTTTAAACTTAAATGTTTCTTTTTCCTTAAGATTATATATTTTTTAATGTTTTAATATGCTAATATCTTTTTTTCTAAGATTAAACTGCATTTGTAACATTTTAAATTTATTTTTTTCATTATTTGCAAAACTGTAGCATAAATTTTATTGTGGGTTTTCTTTGTTTTAAACTTTTCTTGATCAACACGCAGTGAACTTGTGTGCATTTGTGTATTTCAAATAGCTGTTACAGTAGATTATCAAGTGTGTTAAATAGCCTTTGTTACATCTTTCAAATACTTTAATTTTGAAGCCTTTATTAAAAAAAAAATCATTTTTAAATGCAATTTCATCACTTTCAGTGGGCAGTTATTGTGACTAATATCAAACTTGGATGTAAAACCAAATCATATACTCTTAAGCTTTTTATCATAAATATAAGTCATTTCTCAAGTTTTGCTATAATTGTTAAATAGTTTAATTCTAGTTTTAGTTTTACAAGATAAATTGTACTTGTAAAGACCCTTTTCTCTTTTAGAATAAAAGGGATCAGCACATACTGAAACGGCGAAATGTTCCTGCTCAAGACAGCACTGATTCTGAAGATAATGAAAAACCAACCACACAGAATCTTCAGGCCATTGTTCAGAATGCTGCCAGCAGTGAACCATCTGTACAACTTAGTGCTGTGCAGGCAGCAAGGTAATTATTAAATTGTATTGTTTTTCTTGATATTTTTACTATTTTTCTTAGTGTAATTATCTAGTTTGAGGAAAGTTAAGATTTTAATTCTCTTAATTTCAAAATAAGACTAAACCATTACATTTTGACTCTCTAATTAGTCTTGATAGCCTGATATCTGCATATTTAGTCTACATTTTGAAGATGAATGTAGAATTGGATAAGGAGATGCTGAATAGTTTTCAACCTGGTTCACTTTTTCAAATGATGAAAAATGGGATTTCTAAACTATCTTGGTCAGACTGAAAACATTTTAAGCATCTCACAACCTCAATATTTGCATAACTGTTAATAGTTTATGAAATTATCTTTTGAGCTGTGAGTTTGTGATATTAAATGACTTATTACTTAACTAATGAGGTTACTTATATAAGCTAATAAATCTTGTTGATGTAAAAGTGTGCAATTTTCTTTGTGTGTGTTTTCTTTCTTTCCAATGGTTCAGTGTGAATTAAATTTTCATCTACCTGTTCACGTCCAGCCACTTCTCTTGTAAAGCTTCATCTTAGGTGCCTTGCTACTGTGACTTTTGTTCATGTTAGTCTGCCATTATCAAATAACCATAATCATCAGATTATCTGTTCCTGTGCTATTTTAAGGATATGCTAAATGGGTAAATCTCTTTTATTAGTAGTGCACTAATTTAATCCAAGAGGTCTTAAGGAAATATATTGGCTCTACAAAAAGAATTGCTCATTTTTATGATTGCAAATTAGAATTTAGCTTTTATCAGAAAATTATGTTGGCTCAGCCATATTTTCTAAAAATTTAACTAAAAAATATGGAAGAATGTTGTATAGTGATTCAATTCTCGTCATGAAAATTAAAACTGATTATGTTGAAGTTAAAAATTTGTTTATCGTTTATAGCAATCAATGTAACATTCTGAAACTTTTTTGTCTGTGTTTTTTTGTTTTTTGTCTGTGTTTTTTTGTTTTTTGTCTGTGTTTTTTTTTTTTTGTCTGTGTTTTTTGTTTTTGTCTGTGTTTTTTTGTTTTTTGTCTGTGTTTTTTGTTTTTTGTCTGTGTTTTTTTGTTTTTTGTCTGTGTTTTTTTTTTTTTTGTCTGTGTTTTTTTGTTTTTTGTCTGTTTTTTTTTTTTGTTTTTTGTTTTTGTCTGTTTTTTGTTTTTTGTCTTTTGTTTTTTTTTTTGTTTTTTGTCTGTTTTTTGTTTTTTTTTTTTGTTTTTTGTCTGTGTTTTTTTGTTTTTTGTCTGTTTTTTTTGTTTTTTGTCTGTTTTTTTTTTTGTCTGTTTGTTTTTTTTTGTCTGTTTGTTTTTTTTGTCTGTTTGTTTTTTTTGTCTGTTTGTTTTTTTGTCTGTTTGTTTTTTTGTCTGTTTGTTTTTTTCTGTTTGTTTTTTTTTTTTTTTTTTTTTTTTTTTATATTATTTCTTAATGTTTTATCTTGTAGGAAATTACTCTCCAGTGACAGAAACCCTCCTATTGATGATTTAATATCATCTGGAATCTTACCAATTCTTGTGGATTGTCTTTTAAAAGATGACAAGTAAGTTTTGTAGTAGTATAGTCTCTGTCACCTCCCTGCTTTTCATTCATTAAGAGTTTTACTTTGTGTATGAAAGGATAAAAATTTCTTTTGCTTTAAATATTTTATATAATAGTCATATTTATCACTAAGTAATTTCCTATCATAGCACTTATAACTAATGGCTTTAGAATTGTTTTAATATTCTAAAAGCTCAAATTCCTTAAAGCATTTTGTATGTTTCTCTATATTACCTTTTTAATAAACTAATTTTCATTTAGCAATATAATTTTTATTAGTTCAACTGAATATTAGAACTGTATAATCTACATTTCAATATGTTAGGTGCAGTTTTTTTTTTTTTTTTTTCTCTCCTCTTGCCTTCTTTCTCATATCTGAAAGACCAAAATTCTTTTAGTTGCATGTTTTTTAAATTCTAATTGGGTTGGTGTTGATAAAGTTTTTTTTTTTTTTTTTTTTTTTTTTTTTTTGAAATTGTTCTTCAGTTAAAAATTCATATAATTTCAGTTCTGCTTGCAGTCCATCATTGCAGTTTGAAGCTGCATGGGCGTTGACGAATATAGCATCTGGTACATCTGCACAAACACAAGCTGTAGTCAATGCAGGTAAAATATCTATAAATACTTATAATTTGCATAAAATTCTTAACTGTTTGAAATTAGATAATTCATTTCATTAATTTTGTACACACACACCTGTTGCTATGGATAAATTGTTGCTGTTTTAAATTTTTAATTTCATACATGTGCATTTATTTTATTGACTGCACAGTATGAGTAGGGTTAGTTGGGCACTGTCTGTGAGAAAAAGAGCATTATGGCTCACTTGACCTGGCCAGAAATTTGGAAACTGCATGCTGTACTGCTTGGCATTTACATCAGAAGGTCCAGTACGAACATTCCAGTGTTTGGGTGTCAGTGGAGAGGATTCGGAAAAGTTGGGTGAGTTTAATGGTGACTATGAATGTCTAGCAGCTTGACAAACTCGCTCTGATCTTTTCTGATAAGAAAAGAACTGCCAAATTTGGTGAGAGCCTTAGATTCAACACAAAGGCAAACATCAATTGCCTTGAGGAGGTAGTGCTGCCCTGAGTCAAAAGGGTGGCTGTTGGAAGACCCTATGTCTGGCTACAGGACTATGCACCATGCCACACAAGCAGAAGAACCCAGTTAAGGCTGTCATATTATTTCTGTGACCACATCACCCCTTACATCTGGCCACCTAACTCCCCAGACTGCAACCCCCCATTGATTATGTGTGGGTGCAGTTGAGCGAGAGACCAACAAAACTCTTGTAACATCAAAGATGAGCTGAAGGCAAAGATTATGGCAGCATTCACCGACTTGAACATGGAGACTATCCTGAAGAGTTGCAGAAGATTACGAAGTAGTCTGGAGGGCATGGTTGAAGCCAATAGTTGTGTGTGTGTGTGTGTTTGTTTTTGTTTTTTTCCCCAAGATATATTTGCCAAAATTACACAAACATATGTTAAAATGTGATGTCTGATATTTTCATTTTTGCTTAATTTATATGGCAATTTCTCAATAGTACCATATTTATTTTTGTGTGTGTGTCTCTCTCTCTCTCTCTCTCTCTCTATATATATATATATATATATATATATATATATATATATAAAATGAATGAATAGACGCCAGCTGTAGCTTTTTTGGAAAAAGCTGTCCGAGTGCCATCTGCAGTTAACCTTCTATATAGAACATCTAACGTAGACCTGTTTAACAGGTGTAATATTGGAGGACTTTGAGACTTTTCTCATACAGTCTCAGTTACGATGGATTGGTCATGTCTTGAGAAGGTCTGATGACTGGATACCCAAGATTGTAATGTACAGCCAGTTAGATCAGGGCTACAGGAATGTAGGATGCCCATGGCTAAGATATAAAGACAAGCTGGAGCAACTTGTCAGCGAGTAGAATGGAGACCAATGTGCTTTAGTGAATTCTGCAGTTTTCAATCTGCTTGTGTGAATCCTCTTCAAGAAGCAAGATCTAAAAGGTCAGCCAATCTAACAGTGATCTCATCCCACAATCCTCACTCTTGCTCCATATGCGGCCTGCTTTGTAAATCACTAGCGGGTCTTAAGTACGACTTAAGATTATCACACAAAATTTCATAACTGAATCAATTGGTTAAGTTGTCAGATCCTCATATGCCGAAACAGATGGGAGGGAGTCCATTTTTATATATATATATATATATATATATATATATATATAAATTTCTTTACTAATTTTTGTATTAAATTATTTGCAAGTGATTCTACTTATTTAAAAAAACTTTCTAACTTTGCATGTATTAAATTTCATGGTTTTTATAGAAACTATATTTTAATTTCAGGTGCCGTTCCATTGTTCTTAAGATTATTGCAATCTCCTCATCAAAATGTCTGTGAACAGGCAGTCTGGGCATTGGGAAATATTATAGGTAATATTAAAGTCTTCATCTGTATTATGTTTTTATATATATATATATATATATATATATATTATATATATCCACGTGATCGTTAAAAATGAGCATAGCATGATGAAAAAGATGCCAAACTTGATGAAAACAAAATTTTATCATCTAAATGTTTAAGTTATTATAAAAAGGAAAGATCAAAGTATTTTTGGTTTACATTTTTCTTTTTATCATTCCCAGCACATCCAAAATTGTCATTAAAATTTTTTTTCCATTTTATAAAAAAAAAAATGAAAATCTCAATTTGAAATTCTTTTAAAAATCAATTATAATTTTTTCAAGACTTATTTTAAGAAAATCAGAAATTACAATGTTTATTTAAAATATTTTCAACCAAGCTTAACTTAGCTTCTGTGCTGAAAAGATGTAATTTGAAAATAAAGCAAATATAGTCATAAGCTTTTGCATAACTTGACTGGTGATGAATGACATGTTGATGAATTATGTGAGGATCATTTGTTCTATGGAAGGAGTAAAGTGAAATTATTTACATTTAAGTGAAGAAATTATTTACCTCATTATTTTTAAGGAAAACTTTCAGCGCTCTAATTTTCTTTTTTCTTCTTTTTTCTTCTTAGCTTTCACCTTTTACGTTTACGATGCTTTATGGAAAATATATTATAAAGAAATTAAAATAAGACTGTTAAGAGTGAGATTAAATTTCATAAGAAAGGTATCTAATTAATTTATAGATACCTTTCTTACAAAATTTTATCAGAAGTGTACATAAAATTATAGTATTTTATGTACATTTACTACATTTTACTGTGTTATTTGTATTTCCATTCATTTTATTAATTTTGACATTTCATTTATGGAAAAATGTTATAACATTAATATAAAAATAAGATCATAAATTTCATAAGATGATACTGATACTTGCAGGTACCCTTCTCAGTTGAAATTGAAAAATCAAATTAACTTCTCTACACGTGTTTCACAAAAGTAAAGGCCTTAACAGCGGAGAACAATGCTTAACTGAGATAAGGCAACTTAATTGTATTCTGCTTGATCTTCTGTACTTTATAATTATGGCCCGATTATAAACACAAAATAACATTTCTTAATTATTACTTATATATATATATATATATATATATATATATATATATATATATATATATATAAAAATCTGTCTATCCACTTGGAAAATGTAGATTTGATATATAACAAATATTACCATGACTGGGTTTGGGCAAAATCCATGAGTAGTTATAAACTTTTTATTCTGAGAAATTTATTTTTTTACCTGCATCTGTTGTCTAATGGTCACTGTTCTTGAAATTTTTGCTGTTTTTTTTTTTTTTTTTTTTTAATTATAAGTAATTAAAATATACTCCAAATCATTTAAGAAAAAAAGTGCAATAAAATTAATTATTTAAGCTTTTGCTTTTAATTGCTTATAAGATATATGAAGGGCGCTACTGTCTTAGGAAAATGTTTCCTGATGAATAATGACTTTTACAAGATTTTTTTTTTTTTTTTTTTTTTTGATACCAGTTTTCAAATCCCAATATTTTTAAAACATTTTTTTTTTTATATACATATTATTGAAAGTATGGGTGACAATACAGGAAAATAAGAGCATTGACTATTCCTCAATTTAGATTACAGAATATTTTCCAAAATTTTTAAGATTACTGAGTACTTAAATATTATATAGAAAAGGCACTCACATCATTTTCTTAAATTTGCAGTTAGTCTCTGTAGAGCAACAATCTGTCATCACCTTGTCAAACATGTTACATGGCTATTCATTTAAAAAGTAAATGATTTTTCAAATCGAATTATTTCTACTTTAAATTGGCTAACATTTTCCAAATAAAGTTTCAGAAAAGTATATTTTTGGAAGATTTTTTTTTTTTTATACTAAAGTAATTACAATGAAAGAAACTAAAATAGAGGTGGGGGTGCTAATCAACTATTTTAGCAAAAAAAAAAAAAAAAAGTTATTCCAATTGATACATCTTTAAAATATGAGTATTTTACTTACAGGAAATAGTAAATTTAATCTTTCAGCTTTCAATCAAAGTTAAAATGAAAGCTTTTCATTTTTAAAAGTTAATTTAAACCTTGGGTACAACGTTTTAGTGGTGGTACCTAATTTAAAGGCTTGATTTTTTTTTTTTGAAACTTGAGTGTCAAATATTGTTTGGTTAACAAAAAAAAAAATATGAGCAAACATTTTCCACAATGAAAAATATCTAAACTCTTAATGTTGTCTGTTTTTTTTTTTTCAGTTTGTTTACAGCAACTGCATTTATTTATCTGGTGAGAGAACATTTAAATCTTTTTTTTTTTTTTTTTTTTTTTTTGGGTGATGGACCGCAGTGTAGAGATTATGTGATAAGCTTAGGTGCCGTCAAACCACTTCTGTCTTTCATCAACCCAACTATTCCTTTGCCATTCTTGCGAAATGTGGCCTGGGTAATAGTAAATTTGTGTCGAAATAAGGAGCCACCGCCCCCTGTGGACACAATACAGGAAATTCTGCCTGCTCTGTGTCAACTTATCCATCATGTAGATATAAATGTGAGTATTACATTGTCTTTTTTAATTGAAATTCTGACAGGATATCATCCAGTGCCTCTTCAGATCATCATAATTGTCCTTTATTCTTGTTATACCAGGCTGACACTAGAGAGGGAGACTATCTGTAGAAGTGTACTGAGCACATATCAAACAGTAAAAAAATATGTAATTTTCTTGAACTGATTGAGTAGATAAATTATATCACTAAAAAGCAGATTTCTGCTTTAGATCTTGGAGTTTCTATTCAGCTAAGCAATGCACACATCTCTCTTTTTTATATATATATATATATATATATATATATATAGTAAATTCTGTCTGTTATTGAACTCCTTTTAGGGTTTTGAAGATAGCCCACCCCTCCCCAAATATAAAGTATATTTCATTTTGATCAAAGGGGGAGTCCCCCTGCCACCACCACCCTAATTTGAATTAAATCTAATTTGAACAAGGAACGAATCCTATCCAAAATACAGAAAGAGAAAGCCAGAAGATGTAGGTCACATCAGCAAGTTGAGTAATATTGAAATGCATCATTTTTCTCCACAAATCATAATGATTTATAATCATTTTCTTGCAAAAAAAAAAAATGTGTTAAGCACAGCAAGGCCTGAACAATTTGGCTGGTGTCTAATAAGCTGTTACAACCCCTCATTGTGAAAGAACTGGAACTTTTAAAATGTGCATAGTAAAAGGAAAAATTCCATTCAGACACCTTCTTTTGAATGTCACTGATTGCAGAACATGAATTAGAGCAACACAATGTCATAAAAAGTCACTTCTCTTTGACTTTTAATTAAATGTATGTAATTTGTGTTTTTTTTTTTTTTCCTTCAGATTTTGGTTGACACCGTTTGGGCATTATCTTACCTGACAGATGGCGGTAATGATCAAATCCAGATGGTCATTGAATCTGGTGTTGTGCCCTTTTTGGTACCACTTCTCAGTCATCCAGAAGTAAAAGTACAAGTAAGTGTTGTTGTTGTTGTGTTTTTTTTTTTTTTTTTTTTTTTTTGTTTGTTTGTTTGTTTGTTGTTTTGTTTTTTTTTTTTTTTTTTTTTTTTTTTTTTTACTTGCAGAATTTATTCCTAGACAAGATTATGTATATGGTCTTAAAGATGTTTACTTTTAAATTACAGACTGCAGCATTACGAGCTGTGGGCAACATTGTGACAGGAACAGATGAGCAGACACAAGTTGTTCTTAATTGTGATGCACTTCAGCACTTTCCTGCGCTGTTAACACATCCCAAGGAAAAGATAAACAAAGTAATATCTCACTCCTTATAAAATTGAACAATAGTAGTTTTTATTTTGATATTTTGAAACTTAATATGGCAGGACATTTTAATGATTTGCTAATTTTACAGTTACAAAAGTTTCTCCAGAAAATTCAGTTTACCATGGCTTTTCAAAAATTAATTTGATCTTATATACACACGCATGTGCTCTTTAATGTTATGTGTAAATTGTTATTGGTCACAAATTCCCTCTTATGCTTAATGTTTGTATTGTCTGGTACAAGGCCATATTTGGCCCACCAAGTGAGAACAGAACTTGTTAGCAATGTAAGAAGCATTATGGTTGTTGGATTTTTTTTTTTTTTTTTATTTATTTATTTATCTGAAGTGGGGAATTGCATTGTATCCTGTAAAGTATTTTTAAGATTTAGAAATATTGACTTTTTTTTTTTTTTTTTTTTTTTTATATAGCCATTGATATTATTTAGAGCTTCAATAATTAATGCTGTTTGTATGATTTTGAACTATTAATAAACTGTTTCTTCACATGTATTAAAAAGTTTGATCAGATGTACGATTCCGCTTCAACACCTTTCTGGTGTGTATTATAATTATAAACAAATATTCAAATAGTATATCATAAAATACAGAAAATTTGTCAGACCCTCTTTCAAGTATATGAGTCTTGTTCAAATCAGAGGTTACTTCATTAGTTTAAGCAAACAATGTAAAAATTGAGTATTTTGAAAAGTTAGTTAAAAATTGATAATCATTAATAGTTTCTTGCCACATATTGACTTTAGCGTCATAACAAAACTTACTACAGTAAAAATTCTGCACTTTCAAGCACTAATTGTTTGTATATTATTACAGGAAGCTGTATGGTTTTTGTCAAATGTTACTGCTGGCAATCAGCAACAGGTCCAAGCTGTCATTGATGCTGGTTTGATTCCACTTATCATACATCATTTATCCCAGGTAAGACCTAATGTAAAAGTAAGTTTTTAATTTTATAATTGCTTTCTTATTTGGATATTTTTTTCCAGAACCACTTTTTGATTTTTGGCCATAGCAAATTTTTAACATGAACTAATTTAACCAATCACAAATTGTGCTATTTTTATTTATTCATTTTTTTTTTCTCTCTCTCCTTATTTAGGGTGACTTTCAAACTCAGAAAGAGGCTGCCTGGGCTATCAGTAACCTTACAATCAGTGGGAGAAAAGAACAGGTAATAATGTTGGTCATATCAATTGCGTGTTATCATTCCTCTTAGTAAGTCTTACTTGTGAAGTTCATAATTCAGGAAACATTTAAATTGAAACTTTCATAATTTAATCAAACAAATGCTTGTGTATCCCCCTCTCAAAATTGCATGAAGTAATTTTGACAAAAGTATTTTTGACTGGATGGGGGGGGCTAATATGTTGTAAAATGTGTGTGGGTTTAAGTGCATTTTGAGATGCATGTAACTTGTATATTTGTTTTCAGCTTGCTTCTCCTTTTTAACATTTTCTTTATTTGTATTAACAGGTTGGATTTGTTGTGCATCAAGGAGTTATTCCACCTTTCTGTAACTTGTTGGTTGTTAAGGACCCACAAGTTGTCAATGTTGTATTAGATGGCATCAACAACATCTTAAAGATGGCAGGTGATGATGTAGAATCCTTATGTCAGCAAATTGAAGAGTGTGGTGGTAAGTTTAATACCTTTTTGAAATGTCAATTGAAGCCTTATGTATTAGGCTGTTTTAACTGTTTTTAAACATAGTTAACATTCCATGCAGTCTTCAAAACCAGAACTTCAATGTGTCTTTATCCTTATTCAAACTAGAGTTATCATTCTTTCATATTTTTCAGGATTGGACAAAATTGAAAACCTTCAAAATCATGAAAATGAGGATATATATAAACTAGCTTATGATATTATTGATAAATACTTTTCTGGCGATGTAAGTATGAATTTTTTCTAAATTTGTCACTTTACTTTCTCACTCCTGAAATAGAAACTTTGAACATGCACTTAATATCTGACCAAGTCAAGGATTTCTGAATTGTAACTCAAATCAGATAAGGGTAGCATAATATATAGTAAAATTGCTCCCTCCCACCTTTCTCTAATTTTATTTCTGATAAAATAAACATATCATGGGCTATTTTGGTAAGTGAAATAAGAAAAATGTACAGAAAACTCTCAAAGACTTGATTCTATTTTTGTGGGGTTCTTCAAGAAGTTAAAATTAAATCTTTGTAGATTCTTAAGACAAAACCTTCCTACACACAAGCTAATTTCAGCTAAATAGTATAAATTGATATATATATATAGTATTCACAAAGTGTAGCTGAGATTCATGTACCTTAGAACATGAAGGGAAATTTTTTTGTTTGCTGTACCTTATTTTTATTTTCAGCTTAAGTATTTTGTCATTTGGTGCTAAAGCTTCAGTTGAACTGTCTCTGGTCATAGGTGAAACATTCCTGAAAGATGGCATTAGCAAGAAATTAAGGTCATCACTTACAAAAGATGATTTGACATGTATACTTTTTTTTTTTCCAGTTATGCCAAACATGGTAATTCTTCAGTAGGAAAAGCCTTTTTTTCTTCTTACCTATCAACAATAGCTTAAAGATGTCATCTTCTATAATTAGATAAAATCCATCCTTTTATCACTGTATACCAGTCAATGCTTTGTTCAACTTCCAGTAGACAAAACCTGTAACCCTTTCAATGCACAGTCTGTTTCCAAATGGTATACTAATCTTGGTTTGAATTTCGGTTTTTGAAATCTTCTTATTAAATAAGCGAATGTCTGTTTTAGCAGCCTTAAAGTATTTCATCTTCACACTTTTTCGATCTTCAGTTCATTAAATAGCTTTATAAATGATCACTTTACTCTGGAATGCTTTTCTTGTTACTTTTCCATCTACAATGTTTGTAACTTTGCCATTTATAATTTACCACAAGAATGATTTTTTTTTTTTTTTTTTTTTTTTTTTTATATGGTAGCTTGTTGCATTGAAATTTATTTTCTTGGCTTTGTGACTCAACATGATTTCTTGGCATTTCACTAATTTCCGTTTGTGCGTATGTTAACTGAAACCTACATCTTTTAATTTACTTTTCATTCCAGATTGATGAAGATCCGCAACTTGTTCCCCAAGCTGCAGAACAGAGCTATCAGTTTGATCCTGATGCCCAAATTCCTTCAGAAGGCTTCAAGTTCTGAGATCTTAAATTCCCTCTCTACTGTGTATGCTTCAGTCCCAGCAGTCTTGGTAACCGAAGCATGACTCAGAAAGCTTACGGTATCAGCTTAGGGGATGAATATATTACTACTACTACTACTACTACTACTACTACCACCACTACTATTACAACAACAACAGCAACTTGACAACTCAGCAGCTTTTTTTTTTTTTTTTTACTCCAGCAACTGTTACAAATCTCCTCCTGTCTGGCATCCTATGCCTGCATGTTTCACACCTGTCTTGACTTTATATCATTGCTACATGCTGTGCATTTCTATACAAACAACCCATGTCAAGGAGCAATGTTTTCCACAGTTGATAAACAATGAGTGGGTTAAATGCAACATTGTGCTTACCACTTTATTTATTCACTTTTAACCCTCCCCCTCTCCCTTTTTGCCATATGTAAATTCTGGTTAAGTTTCTGAGTTATTGTATATGGGAAAAAATTCAACTTTGAAACTTTGGCTTGATGTGGGTTAGTTCTTGTACAAAGGGGACTTGAAAGGTTTCTCTAACTCTGATTTTTAGATTTGTCACTATTTGACAATTTCTTTCTTTCGGATCAACAAAAACATTTAAGATTAAGGAATTGCTGGCATATTGCTGTTGTCATTTGTTGTCAGTTTTCTTGTACTTAGAACAATTTCCATCTCTTTGCTGGGAGAAAAATAAAATCTATTTCCCAGTATCTGTTAAACGCCTGCTGATGCTGGATACTGTATCTATATAAACGTTTAACCCTTCCCTCTTAGAGCTTTGATATTTTGTTTTATATTCTATTTTTATTTCGTCTGGAAACACTTTTTTTTAATTTTTACTTGTCACTGAATTTTTTTTCTTTAGCATATTAAGATAGAGTAAAGGGCTTTTTAAAAATGAAGTTTTTAAATATTTCTTCTCTCAAAATAGCTAAACATTAGATTGCACTATTATCTGGCTGCTGAAAAAAAATTAATTGGTCATCAGCTGTACTTTGCTGTGTGAAAAAAAAAAAAAAAAAAAACACCTGCTCTTTTCTGCTCAGATTGACTTTGTAAAATACTTTTTTTAATACCCAAATCTCTAGGATAATAGACTGTAGGTAAAGAGCTGTTACTATATACCATTCTGCCAAAAGGCTTTGCTGATAAAGACATTCTCTGATTTATATTCTTTATCCAACATAATCTTGAAAATTGGAATTTAAAAGTTTTTTTTTTTTTTTTTTTTTTTTTTTTTTTTTTTTTTTTTCTGCTTGCCTCTTCATTGTTTTTTTTTTTTTCTTCTTGTTTGTAACATTGTTCACTCTCCTTTTTACAGCTCTCTCTAGCTTTCCTATTTTAAAACTTAGCATGGTTAAAGTTCTTGAATATTGTTCTTCAAAAAAAAACAGTTGAAGACCTGTCTAAATTTAAAAATTGTCGATATTTTATCCTTATCTTCATTTTTTTATTTTTTAACTCCCAATCAGTCCAGTGTTTTTTTAATTTTGTTGGTTGATGGCCTGCATCTGTTTGATTTTTCTTTATGAAAGTTAAATTTCAGAAAATGAAGCATGATCTCTAAATGTTGACTGTTATGAGCTGATTTCAGCCAGGCAACAGACATGCAAATGTGGTAATTAACTTGACTATGGAAAAGTGAACTGTGCACTAGGAATCCTGCTTGTCTTTGTTTCTAGTTGGACTACCTGCCCCCAGGTTTTTTTTTTTTTTCTCTCTCTCTCTCTCTAAAAATTGTGGAATTATCCTGAAACTACATATCAGATTTAGATGGGAATGTTTTTGAGTGTTGGCACATTGTTTATCTTGGGATATTGCAGTAAATAAGATTAACTTTCTTCCTCTCTCAAATTATCCCTAATTCAAAACTGCTAGAGAGCATCATAATCTCTTTGGATTAATTGTTCTAAGTGGCTTTCTCTGTATCTGTCTTTGTGGTCTCTTTAACTCCAAAATCCCACCCACCCTACTCTGTCGCTGCTGCATGCATTTTCTGCTTAGCTGTGACATATTAACTAAAAGCTGAACTTAAGAAATTTTTTTTAAACTCCAGCTTCTAGAGAGGTGAAGAGCTAATGGTGGAACTAAAATATAAATTAAGCATTCCTACTTAGACTTTTTTCTTTTTCCTTCATAAATTGGGCAGTCCTAAAAGAGGTTCTGTGAGCATATTGTAATAAAATCTTTCTGTTGCCTTATGATACTGCAATTTCCCTCCAGAATGTGTTCAGAGAAACTGTTATGAATGGTAGTAGAGATGATGATGTTGGTGCACTGTTGCTAAATATTTGAATGATGAGACTTCACTGAAAATGAGTTACTTTATGGCAGTACTTCCTTGGGTTGTTATTAGCCAAAAATTAATATGTACAAATGTAAACATTCCACTATTATTAGTTGCCTGTCCCTCTTAATTTAAAAAAACTTAGTTACTGTGATTTATATTTGCAAAAGCCTCATAATTAATGCAAATTCACATGTACTACTATGACTGATGTTTCTATAACTGCCACTTGTTGATGGTTCAGTGAGAGGGCCCCCTACTCAACCCCTTTTTTCTTTATTTTCTCCTCTCTAGTGTGTATGTGTGCACTTCTCACTGACAATACCTACTACTTAAACTAAGCTCTACTTGTTCTTCATCCCTTTCTAAATTGAAAGCTTTGCTGTTCTGAGATGCCTAATTTGGACGTGATTCTATTGATCAGCATTTTTTTCCTCCACATTCTTGTATAAAACTTCAACACAAATTGAAATGTGCCATTTAAATTTTTTAATTGGCAGAATTTAAAGACAAAGGAGGGATATTGGCTGACGTGATTTTAAATCCCCCTCCCTTCCCTTGGATCCATTGAGCTGGATGATGATGTGTTTTGGTGATGAAAATGCTGTTGTGAAATGATGACTTCATGAATGAATGTTAATCTGATCAAATACATTGGAGAATAGAGGTGGTGATTGTACATTTGTAATATTTGTATGCATTTTTAATGTTGGCATATCTGGATAAGAGTATGAATGTTGATATAAAAGTGAGGTGCTATATTGGGGTGGGTGGGTATTTGATTGAATATTTGGGGTGGGTGACAGCGTGATTGAATTTTGACTGTAAAAAGAAAATGGTCAGGATATTCACTTTTACTTTTTTTTTTTTCTTTTATGAAACCAAAAAAAAAAAAAAATCTTAATTCCTTTTCTGCCACACTTGATTGTTTGTATAATGTCAGGAGCTGTGTGATATTAGACTGAACAGAAGTTTTTGAAAACCAAAAACCTAGAGAAAATTTGATAGCTATGCTCAAGAATATGCTATTTTTTTCTGTCCATGGCCACAACATATTTTATTCTTGATAGCTTCAAATCATGTTAATCTAGGCTCTTATTTTGGTACATTGAGTCCTTCTCTCCCTTATCTCTTTCTCTCATAAGTAACTGTTTAGTTTTTGTAACTTAAATGGTTGCTTAATTACATAAAAATCTAAAGTATTTTTACTCTAGAGAATGTCTTGCATGCAAATTTCTTTATGAAAAAAAACTGAAATTGACCTTAATCTTAAGGGTGGATGTTATCATTTTTGCACTTGCCTGGCAAGAGACAAATTTTTGTTCTATATAATTTTTCTTCCTGTTAATGTGCTCTGGCCTCCTAAAGTTTTTTTTTTTTTTTTTAACAGGGATGTTTGTTTGAACAGGCCAAATCCTCTTTGAAGTTATTTTCAAACTTCTGAAACAAATGTTTAATCTTTTCAGCTAACTTCTGTTGTCCAAATTTATGATATCCTAGTAGACACACACACACACACACACACACACACACTGTTTTTACTCTCTTGATTTCTATTTTTCAGTTCTGAAGCTGTACAGATTTCTTGTCTCAGTGAATAATAAAAACATGGCTCTATTTGTACCAAAGTTCACTTTCACACAAAGGTTTCTTTGTTTGTGTATTTTTCCTCCCTATTATTTGGGGGTGTGGGAGGGAGGAAATTTTCTTCAGAAAGAATATACATGCATTCTGAAATGTGATGTACTTGAAAATATTGTTAAAGTAGTAATTAGTGACTTAAATATTTTTCTCTTTTGAAATTATTCTGGAGCTCTTCTCCATTTCTGACAAACCCTATGCCCACAGTCATTTTTTTCTTTTCCTATCTTACCAAAGATAATCTTGAGTATTGGACAATGCTAACAGAAACAGTTGTATACTACTGGTTCACTATTTGCAGGACCTTATGGGAATTGAAAAATGTTTTGGTTTCCCCCATTTCAACATCCCCACACACACACACACACCTTGCTCTTTTATTTAGTACTGATACTGAGCAGTAATACCTGTTGAGTTGCTTTGCTAAAATCTGACTTGTTGCTGTGCAACATGTGTGCATCTGTCTGTACACTCACATATTTTTCTCTGTACTGATGTACACTAGCAAAGAAACAAGCAGCCATTCTCTTGTTCTGCTACTAATGCCTAAAATAAATATTGAATGGAAACCAATTTTAAAAATTCAAAACAAATTCCAAATCTTGTGATCAGGTTTAAGTATAGAAACTATATTGAATTCCCTTTTTTCACTGTTGCTACTGCTCTCCATCTCTGTTAATATTGTCTGAAATTCTATTTTATTGCAAGCATTGTTGCCATACTTCTATTTACCATTACTGATGAAGTTTAACTGCTAGCATTGCTCTTCCAATACCTTCATTTGTTTCACATAAAATTAATTTTGTTTATGCTTTATATGATTTTTTTTTTTTTTTTTTTTTTTTTTTTTCTTTTTTTTTTTTTTATGCAGGAGTTAAATATTGTTAATAATTAGTGATGCAAAAGTTCCAATGCATCTTGCAAAAATATTTAGTCTTCCTACTGGCAAAACTTGTTACAGGTTAAATTCTGAGACTTCATATTCAAAATCATATGACAATAAAAATGGATTCTTAGATACCCCCCCCCATTTTAAAAGGTGGCAGATTGTACACTTTGTTGCACTGTA